CACCGTGCGCGGCTCCTCCTCGATCCCACGATAGTTTCAGACTCTCTCGAGGTCGTTCCCGCCGAGGGGCCCGTCTCGCTCAAAGCGGCGGTTGCTTCTATCATGGCCGATACTTTCTTCTGTGCCACGTCCCGGGAGCTGGACAAGGTTACCCTGGAGATCCGCCGGATTGTCTCTGCAGCCAAAAGTTGGCCTGAGTATCTTTGGCTCGTGTACATCGGCCGCAAGACGTACTCTTTAGACGCCGTGTGCGCCCTGCTGGAAGGCCCTCACAGACTCAAGTACGATCGTGGCTACACCATCGACCCAGACGCCTTGGACCACCTGCTCGACAACACTAGCCTCGGTGACGGCATCCTCCACGGTGAGAGCAAGATCGAGCTCCGCATGCGCATCATCGCCGTCCGGGACCTCCTGCACTCTCTGCCGCGAGGGTTCCTCGACGGGGCTCCCGACGACCTGGCACAGACTGCGCGCGTACTCCTGAAGACCTCCGAGAAGAAGCCCGGCACCCCCGTCACATTCAGTATGACGGAGACCGCGGCCCGCCAGTGGCCAAGCATGACTACGACCGACCGTCTCTGGCATTTCTTCATGTCCATCGGCGGGACGAGCCACTTCCACGCCTGGCAGATGTGTCTCGACTGTCCTGACGTGATTTGCGACGCCTCTCAGATGCGAGCCGTGGGTCCCAGTTGCTACTCCTACCTCCGCCTCGCCTACCCGGCCGTGGAATTCCCTGCAACATGGAGCTCTGCCCAGGGCCAGGACCTCGGCGTTCGCCTGATCGACCACCTCCGTACGCGCCCGGAACTCCAGGGCCTCGAGTTCCCAGGCCCCACGCTCAGCTTCAACAACACCGAGCACTGGACGTGCGAATCCGTGAAGGCGACCAAGGCCTTGCACAACGACGGCCTCCTGATCCGCGTGGGCGAGATACGGCACGTCTTGCAGGGAGGCGCTCTGGCGGTGCCGGCCAGCGGCAAATTTCGAACGCGCCGGTTCCGCACCGGCTTGGCCGCGCCAGACCCCTCCTCCATGAGCGGCAGTTTGATGTACGCGCCACGGACCACCAGCCACGCGCCGCTGATGAAGAAGAGCGTCGTGGGGGAGCCGCCTGCGAAGCGCCAGGCCTCCCTGCTGGCTTTCGGCGCGGTGCGCCGATCAGCCCGCGACCCCTGATGTCCTTCGACGGCGCGCCGTGCAACGACAGCGCGCATCCTCAGGCATAACATTGACTCCGCGGCCCGCGCATGTTTAGTTGGGCCAGCCCGGCGCCCTGGATCTTGCCGGGCTGCCGCGGCCACATATGCCCTGCTGCCACGCCGCTCCTCTCCCTTCCCTCTCCCATCCTTTCCTCCCTCCTCTCTGCATCGTCTGCTCCCGTTCTTCTACCTTCCCAACCCTTCTGTCGCAGACATGGCGCGCTGACTCGCCCTGGCGCCGCCGGCACTTTTGCCTCCCAGCCACGCCGTTCGCGCCTCCTCCCGCTCTCCAGTTTCTCCTCCTTCCTCTCTGAGTCGTCTGCTCCCGTGTTTCCTCTTGCCCTCCCCCATTTCACATCGCTCAGGCGCACCGCCCCATGACTTGCACATTGTGGTCGGCGGCCTCTTCGAGCTCATGCGGAATTTCAACCCTGTGGAGCGGCTGATGAACCACGTGCCGGTCATCGTGAAAGCAGTCCACCACCACCACATCCTTATAGAAACCTTGGACGGCCGAGAGTACCCTTTACCTCGCATCGTGTTCCGCTGGCAGATTGCCAACGGCACGTCCACCATGGCCCGTCGACAATATCCTTGGCGGGCTGCGTACGCGTCTACCTTCAATGGAGGGCAAGGTCGCACGCTCGCGCGCGCGTGCCTGGACGTGCGCCGAAGCCCTTTTGCGCATGGGCATCTCTATGTCGGCGTCAGTCGAGTCAAGAACAGCGACGACATGCGCGTGCTGCCCGATTGTGAGAATTTGGACAAGAACGGCAACGCCTTAGTGCGCAACGTCGTCTGGCCCGAACTGCTTTTGCGATCGGACCCGCCCCGTCCGAAGCCTCATGGACTAACGCCGCGCAAGCGACCTGCCTCCTGCCGATGCTGATCGCAGACAAAATACGTGCACATCCCTTCTCGAAGGATCCGTCGCCGCCCCGTCTCCCGGTTGTGACCTTCACCCCCCTCCCGGTCATTGGCGTCGACCCCTCGTCGTAACGACCCCTGGCGCCCCGCAACATCGACATCGACCTCCTCCTGGTCCTCGTCATCATCGTCGTCGTCCCCAAACGAACTCATGTATACTTCCGTTAACCCCGCTGACCGTCATGGCGTGACTACTTCACCGCCATGACCGCGACCCCCCTCGTGGTCATCGTCTCCTGTCATCTCTCATTCCTGAACTCTGCCCTCGTCGCGACGAGTCGCATCTTCTGTCATTTTCTGGAATGCTTGAGCCCCCCCCCCCCCGAGAAAATGACCGCGACCCCTCTCATGGTCAGGACGTGCTTGCTGCTGTACCTCAGTCACCCACTCTTCGGTTGTTCCTGGGCGCAGGACCAAGATTGAGGCGAAGCGAAGCGAACCCTCAAATCTTGTCTATATATATATATATATATATATATATATATACAAACTTCCGATCAACCGCAGAGCGGCGGCTACTCGTAGTTACAGGCCCACGTTGGAATCCAATTTGAGCGTTGACGCGACTGCAATAGCGTCGGCCTCACAGAACGCGGCGCGGAACCAGACTACGTCGCCAGCTGGGTCCGGACTGATTTGTGCTACTTTCCGGAGGCATTGTATTTTGTTCCGCCCGAGATAGAAGTAGCTCTTTGAACGCTACCAGGTGCGGGCTTGGCAGCCTTGGCCGCACGGCGGAAGATGGAGGTGAGGATCTCGCGTTTTGTGCAACCGTAGGTCCCAGAGCTGCGAGCGCTAGAGGTTTGTCTTGCGTTTTTTTTTCATCAGCTGTGGCAGACGATCGGCTTCCTTTTACGCGTGGAGCGATATGCCACTGGCGCACGACGTCCTGTGGATTTTTTGTTCCCATGGACGGCGGTCGCGGGGACGTCCCAGTTCTTACGCATCCAGGTTGATGAATTGGGCAGTGCCGTTACCCTGGTGGGTTTCAGCGTGCTCCTTGGTCCCAGGCGGGTAACGGTCTGAGGAAGCCTTGTTGTGCGTGACGGGGAGGCGGGGTAGCACAGCATGGTGTAGTTGATCTTGTTGTCCCACGCTGTTTCCTGAGCTCGCCCCTAAGCCTTCGTTGGTCGGAGAGGTGTTGCTGGTAGATAGCATCAATATCGGCGTGATGCGTGAGTTTGCAGTATGCAGCGACTGTTCCGTTGACCCCAACCGCTGTTCCGGAGTGCGGCGACGCAGGTTTCCTTTCGGGACATGCTGCTGTCTGGTAAGGTACATGTTTGAAGGCCCTTGCCTGGTGGCTTGGGTTGCCGTGGCGCAGGGGTGCACGGCGGGGGCCTTTCGGAGCCATGGCGCGCTCGCGGGATTGAAGGGATGCGACGCCAATCTGTCACGGCCCGGAGTGGGCCGTGTCCGGGGTCACGAGGCAAGAAGGGACGCGGGGCGTTTGGCGTGTGGGCGCGTTGTGAACAAAGCTCTCGAGCCGAGAATAGAGGGATAATGTGTGTAAGAGAGAGAGAGAGAGAGAGAACGAGAGAGCAGTTGGTAGCGCCGTGGCGCTTCGCAGCATGATGCAGCAATTCGGCGAGGTCCGTGGGAAATGTGGTGATTCGTTGTCGCTGATGGTGGTAAGGGTATGTGTGTGCGGGGGCGTTAGAGGCAGCACTGGCCCGTCAGAATTCCTCTGTGTCTGCAACGACGATCACTTAGGAGAACCCGTCGGCTTGATCAATCAAGGATTTCCGTGGTCCAACGTGTAAAATGGCGGCGGTATGGGCCCCTTGAGAAAAGGAACGATCCACGAGGAAGGAGGCATGAAACGCACAAGGCTGTAGATGGAAAGCTGGAGTTGACAATGATGGCAGCGGCCCGAGGTCACTATCCAGCTGCCTTGGCCATCGTGCCAGCCCAGCACCTTGGGTGGCGATTGACAGGAAGCCCTGACGCGTGTAACGTCGTGCCCCGAAGCTTGGGAGAACCGTAACGCGTGTCATGTTTTCCTTCCTCGTATCAGTGTTGGAACCCAATGCGTGTGTGAACATGATGATACGGAGTAGGACAATATGATTCGGATTATGGTGACGAGGAAGAGAAGGTAAGGATGTGCATTGTGGAGGACGGTGGGGATTAGTAACATGATCATGGCTGGGATGGTGATGATGCTGTTTACGGCTAGGATTGCGATGCTGATGATGATGGTGATGCTGATGATATGATTGATGATGGTGCTGATGAGGATGAGGATGAGGATGAGGATGAGGATGATGATGATGATGCTGTTGCTGTTGCTGTTGCTGATGATGATGATGATGATGCTGATGATGATGATGATGATGATGATGATGATGGTAGTGGTGGTGGTGGTGGTGGTGGTGGTGATGGCGATGGTGAAGGTGACGGTGATGGTGATGGTTGTGGTGATTACGGTCGTGACAAGTGACACTTTTCGTCTTCATGTCTTGAGGAGCTCTCATGAAGCTTGTTGGGGCCCTCGTGGGCTGTCTTGGGCTCCTGTGGGGACAGTCTTGGGAGTCCATCGGGTCACTGTTCGTCTTTGGGCCAAGTGTGTTCTCTCTTGGATCATCTTGGAGGCATCTTGGCCGCTTGGGAGACTCTTGCGGCCGTCTTGGGCCGTACAATGGCCTCAAAGGCCGTCTTGGACGCTCTGGAGGCTATCTTGGGCCAGCCTGGAGCTGATTTGTTGGGGGCCGTCCTGGATGTCTGTCTTGAGGCTGGGGGATTAGTTGGCCGTTCTGGGGCCCTTTTGGACCCTCTTGCGGTCATATTGGATGCATCTAGGGTCATCAGGAGGAGAAGGAGCAAGAGGATGAGGAGGAGGAGGAGGATATTGGATGCCTTCTCGAGGCAATCACTTCGGCGGCGGCCGAGCCCTCGTGGTGACCTACGAGCGCCTCTGCAGCGGCACGGCCAGCGAGCTGCTGCGGGTCCTCGCCTTCGTCGGCAGCCGGGGCGGTGGACGACGATGGCGACGGCGACGACGACGACGACGACGGCGACGACGACGACGACGACGACGACGACATCGACAATGTCGCCAGAGGCGGCGACGGCGACGGCGACCGCGACGACGACGGCGTCGGCGGCGGCGTCGGCGACGGTGACGGCGACGCCGACACGGCAGCGACGACGTCGGCTACGATTGCGACGGCGACCGCCGTTGCGTTTCGGTTTGCTGTCGGGGGGGCGGGGGGGCTTCTGAATTATGAGTTTGCGGTGCAATTATTGGTTGCAGTCTCTGGCCACTGTTACCTGGCCGCTCTGGGTACTGTTTTGTTTTGTTCTTCCGCACGCTCGCAGGGTCGGTATCCCAGGGCCCCAGGAGGCAGTTGGTGTAGATGTTTCGTCCCGAAGACAGTCCGCATCCACTGCCTCCTGGGGTCTCGGGGTATCACTCCCATCCACCCACAGGCTGTGCATTCGCGTACATCCGCCGTCAGATTCATGTGCAATGCCATTTCCAGATCAAAGTCCGAGTTGTCATAGCGTCTATACGCGAATTTTGATTCCAGGGTAGACTATGGAGGACGGCGCCGGCGACTAAAATGTTTTGTGTTGCATGTCGTTCCATGCTCTCTTTTTCTAAGTGTATGTATGCATTATTTGTAAGTGTATGTATGCGCTTGCTCGGGAATGTTGTCTGCGGTGTTGGAGCACCGCCGTCCGTGCAGCATCGGTCCATTGACACGATGGCTCAAGTTTTTTCCGGCTATAGAGGTAGCCCGCGCCACGATCCTGGAGCCTGCGCGCGGGATTTGCATCGGAGCGTCCCTGGGGGACGCGATTCATCCGTGCCCGACCTGAGCTCCTGTCGTGCATTTCCCAGCGTTGCCCAGCGGTGCCCGCCTCGACGGCCGTCGGCCCTTGGCCCTCTCCGCTGGCGGTGGCTGGCGACACGGTGCTTGTGGCGCTGCTCTCCGTCGGCGCCTACCTGCTGATCACGCCGTGGGAGCTGCCGCCCCGCGAGGTGCGGGAAAGGCACGCATCCGTGCCGTGGGCGGCGGTGACCGACGACGCGACGTCGCTGAGGCAGCGGTGTCAGGCGCAGCTCACGTGTGTCCGCAGCCGCAGCGAGGCCGCTCGACACGATGATGCCGAATCCTGGTGATTGTGTGCGTGAGGGATATCGGGGCGTGGCAGGCCCTGTCGTGCGTCATGTTCTGTGGTTGGTCGCCGTATGTCCCTGGACCGCCGACGGCTATGGAGTGACGCCCGACCCAGATCACTACGAGGAGACCCACGCGGTGGGGTCGGACTTCGGGAGAGGGCACATCCTGTCGCATGCGCTGGACATTCATGCAGGTGTGGTGGCGGTGCAGAAATTTGGCCCTGTCAGCCAGCAGCTCCCAGTTGGCGCCCTCAGCCTTGGTGGGCGTGCTGCCGGCCACGCGGCAGATGTTTCCATCTCAGTGGCGCTGCTCTCGGCCAGCGACAAGCTGCCGCTGGCGAAGGGTGATGCACGCGCGATGGCCGGGAAGCATGATGTGCAGGGCGAGCGCCATCGCTCGTGGGACGACACGGTGGCCAACTCATCGGAGGGGCCGAACCCTGGTGGATGGGATGTGCAGGGCCCGCGTACGGTCCGCTGGTTCATGAAGCATGTCTGGGACAGCGGGAATCGGTCCTTCCACACCCACGAGATCTGGGTCCGCCTCGCGCAGGCGCCGTCGGACGGCAGGAGCGTCTACGAGCATGAGGTGCACGGCAGGGCCGTCGACGTGGCGGCGATGCGTGACCAGCTGAACTGCCCGTCGGAGCTCGCGTGCGAACTCGTGTCCCGGAGGCTCGTCCTGATAAAGGAGGCGCTCAGTGTCTCGCCGAGCCAGCCCGACTACTTTGCCGCCAATTGGTTCTTGGGCTGGAGCCGCCGGGCGGAAGGCGCGGAGATCCCGCCAGCCCTGTCGGCCCTCGGCGCGGACCAGCCCGCGGCAGAGGCAGCGATCATGAAGGAGGCTCACAAGGCGATGGAGGAGGCTGTCGCGTGCAGCCATGATCGAGGCAGAGGGAGAGGCCAGCCGCCGGCCAGAGGCGGCGGGGGCCCATGACGCGCCGTGGGCCGAGGGGGCGGCGATTGGGCCCGCCTGCCCCCCTTGCCCGCCACCCCGGCTATCCCTTGCCGGCTCAGGGTAGCGAGGGGAGGCGCGTGCCCAGGGAGCTCTTCCCGCTCCCGAGTTTTGAGGGGGCGACGCCGGACGCCCCGCACCTTTCTCATTATGTTCGTCAGCGCCTACGGCACAGGCGCGCCAAGGGAGTCAGGGCCAATGAGTGTATCAAGGCCTTGAACGAGCTCTACGGCACGCCATCTTCCTCGGTGCTGGCACCGTCTACGGCGGACAGGAGCGCGGCCCAGGCAACGGCTCAGCGCACAATTTTGAGGCATGTCGGTCCCGCTCGAGTGCCTTCTTTTTCACAGCAACGAGAAGCCATCCGCGAGCTTCTCGGCTCCGACCTCGTCTACGACAGTGGGGAGGTTCCAAGTGCTGTGGCTAGGTATGACGCCGCGCGGATTGCGGTTCCGGAGGAGTTGGAGCAGCCTCCGGCCGCACTTGAAATTCTCGACCCCGAGGGGGCGCTATGCCTGAGAGAGTTTCGAGCACGTGTGATGCTGTCGGAGGATGAGTTCGGCCAGCGGTGCGAGAGTGAGCCGCCGGTGATTCCCTGCATGGACCCTACGCTGGCCGCCGATGCGCACAAGTACGCCGACTTCGCGGCTCGACTGGACCGCGCCAGCATGCTGAGGTACTCGACGAACGCCCAGGACCTCATCACGCCGTTCTTTGTTCGCAAGAAGTCGGGGCAGCTGCGGATCGTGTGGGACTGCCGCGCGATCAACACCCGCTTCGCCAGATGCCCGAAGATGAACATGTCATCTGGGAGCAAGTTGGCGGATCTCGAGTTCGGCCCCGAGGAGCAGGTGTTCACCGCCCAGGCGGATCTCAAGAACTACTTCTACCACCCGGGCATCTCGGAGGAGCTGTCCGAGTTTTTTGCCCTGCCCGCACTGGGCGTCAGCTTGCTCAGGGACAAGCGCAGGCTGCCGTCGGACATCGCGGCGCCCCCCGAGGGCAGCAGGGTGTCGCCCTGTTTGGCTGTGGTGCCGATGTGCTGGAGCTGGGCGATGTGGGTTGCTCAGCGCGCGGTCTATCATCAGTCCGTGCGCAGCCGGGCGGCGCCCGTGGACCGCATCTTGAGTGACGAGCGCCCGGCGCCCGGCATGTCGGGCGGGCGGCCTGCACTGCTGGCCTATACGCCGACGACATCAATGTCGTGGGCTCGGGCGCGCACCGCACAGGGAAGATGCGTGACGAGCTGGTCGATCACTTCAGGGGCATAGGGTTCATTGTTCGCGAGATTACGGGGCCCTCCGTTGACGCCGTCACTCTGGGCTACAAGGTCAAGGGGCGCGAGAAGCTCGTCGTGCCCACGGATCGCAAGCTGGAGCTGATCAGGGCCGCAGGGCTCTGGCTTCTTCGGCGCCCCCGCGTCAGCGGCAAAGCCTTGGAGCGGTTCGTGGGCCACTGTAGTCACCTGTGCCTCTTGCGTCGTGAAATGTTCGCTATCTTCCATCGCGTCTACTCCTTCATCTCGGCTCGCGCCGTCAGCCGCTGCCGTGTCTGGGGGTCGGTGTGCCGGGAGATCAGGCGGTTCCTCGCGCTGCTGCCGTTCTGCCGGGCGCGGCTCGACAGACCGTGGAGCCCCAGGGTCACCTCTTCGGACGCGTGTCTGTCTGGGTATGCCGTGTGCTCGCGGATGCTGGGCTCCGAGGTCGTCAGGTCGCTGGATTCCTTCAAGGAGAAGTCTAGATACAAGGCTGGGACCCCCGCCATCAGGGCTCGTGATCATGCACTCTGGGGCTCGGGCGTTTTCAGCAGCATCCACACTGTCAAGCCGGTGGGCCCCTTCAAGACTCCAGAGGTCTGGGACGAGAACCCCGTCTTCGTCGAGATCCCTCAGGAGCTCCTGGATCCCAAAGACTGGCAGCTCGACTTCGCGGCGCGTTTCCTGGAGGTCGAAAACATCATGGTTCTCGAAGGCAGGGGCTCCGTGGCGGCCCTCAGGCACCAGCTCCGTTCTCTGGCGTCGTTCGGCCGCTCACTTCTTCATCTTGGGGATAATATATCGCTCATTTTGGCTTCAGAAAAAGGCAGGTCCTCCGCCCCAGGTTTGTTACGGATCTGCAGGCGTCTCCTCGCATTGACACTTGCTGGCGACGTTCGGGTGCACCATCGATGGCATCCGTCCGAGCTGAACGCGGCTGATGGCGGCTCACGGCTCTGGGAGGGCGCGGATGGCGCCCTGCTTCGTCCAGGAGCCCTGCCGAGCCGACCAGGTCGCGGCCCGTGTCGCTGGAGCGCGTGACAGACATCGTCGAGGCCGCATGCCCATTTGGCTTGGGGGTGGCCAGCGTGATGGTGCTTGCTGCAGTCCGGACGCAGTCATGTCCGACGTACCGACGCGCCCTGCGCAGGTTGGCCGCATGTTGCTTCCTCGGGGATCTGCTGGTGACCTTCCTGGAGTCCGCCGACCTCGCGATGGCCAAGCTGGTGCAGGAGCTGTACACCGACGGCGACGACCACTCCGCGGGGCAGGTGCGCTACGTGGCCTGGCAGGTGACTGTCCCGTCGGCGGGCAGAGGGGGTGCTTCGCTGCCCCGCACGCCGCGGGCCCTCCTGGCCTGGTCGGGCCTGGTGCCGGCGGCCCCTCGGCCGCCGATGCCCGGGCTGGGCGCGGCCGCGGTGGCGCAGGGTTTGCTGGACTGGGGCAACTCGCTCTGGCGGCTTCGCTGGTGGTGCCGTGCCTCACGTGCTACCTGAGGCCCTCGGTGGAGCTCCTCCTTCAGCTGACGGACGTCGTGGCGACGCGGTTCCCGATCCCGTCCTGCGTCGTTCTGAACTTTCACCCCGAAGAGGGAGGCCGGGCATCGAGGCTCGTCATCAACGAGG